ATCCATTCGTTTATTGATGGGCACTTAGGTTGTTTCCAACTCCTTGTTATTGTGAACTAAGCTGCGATAAACATGAGTGTGCATATATCTGCTTGGGTGGCAGTTACGGTCTCTTTGGGGTATATTCCCACTAGTGGAATTGCCGAGTCAAAGGGTATCTCTATTTGCAACTTTTTGAGAAAGCACCACACCACCTTCCACAGTGGTTGCACCATTTTACACTCCCATCAACAGTGAATAAGGGTTCCAGTTTCTCCACAACCTTGCCAGAATTTGTTGCTTGCTGTTCTGTTAAATTTTGTTATTCTGACTGGGGTGAGATAATATCTCATAGTTGTTTTAATTTGCATCTCTCTTAGAGCTAGGGATTTTGAACATTTCTTCATGTGCTTGTTAGCCATCTGAATGTCTTCTTTGATGAAGTGTCTATTCATATCCTGTGCCCATTTTTCAATTGAATGTTTTACCTTTATCTTGTTGTGGTGTTGGGGGGGCGTGTTTAAAAATTTTTTTGTGTGTGTACCATCAAATTGGATCTGTTACAGGAGGAGATTGCCCTTCCTCCTGCTGAGCATCTGGTGGATTTAAACCGCTTATCTCTGAGATTGCAGTGCAGCCTCTTGCCACTAGGCCACCAGAACTCCCTAAGGAGATTCTCTCTTAAGAATCATCTTATGAGATTCTCTCATAAGAATCATCCCATAGCCCAGCAGCCACTCCACAGAGGAGACCTCTGGCTCCTTTAGCTTCAGAATTTCATGAGTCCTCACAGCCCACAGTTCACCCCTCACCTTTCTCAGGCCTGGGCTCAGTTTTCCTAATCTTAACCGTGATCTCCTCATCTTTCAGTCTGACCTCAATGGCCCTGGCCTCATTGTTTCCTTGGGAGTCACAAGTCCTTCCCTTACCAAGCTTGTCCCTTACATGAAACCCTCACAGCCACCACCTTCTCTCACTGCTGCTGGATCCTTCTACATTGATTACCTTGCCTTTGTCTTCACTCTCTGCTCAACAGAAACCATATGTGTGTAAGCTCCCTGGCTGTACCAAACGCTACACAGATCCCAGCTCGCTTCGAAAACATGTCAAGACAGTGCATGGCCCTGATGCCCATGTGACCAAGCGACACCGTGGGGATGGCCCTCTGCCTCGGACACAGGCCCTTGCCACAGTGGAGCCTAAAAGGGAGCGGGATGGAGGCCCTTTGAGGGAGGAGAGCCGATTGACTGTGCCAGAGGGAGCCATGGTGAGACAGCCCAGGCAGCCCTCTACTCCTAGACCTTGCTGACATCCTTCTAGTCCCTTCATCCCCTACAGCCTCTCCTCAGTAAATCACTCTCAGTAGTCAGTCTTCTAGCTCCTTGTCCCAGTGTTACTCTTTGTTGTTGTTGTTGTTAAGTGCCATCGAGTCGCAGGCGACTCATAGTGACCCTATGAAGGAGAGTCCTCGACACTTGGGTGCCTTTCATCCTCTCTCCAGGTTCATAGGGTTTCCGGAGGCAAGCTATTATGGAATTGGATGCCACTCCTCCTTCCAAGTTACTCTTTAGAATGCCCCAAATTTAAAGATTATTATTTACTTACTTATTTGGTTCTTTTTTTAGTGAAAGATCAATGGTTCACACTCACCAACAACTTAGTGGGAGGAAAGAACTAGTGATCTGCTTTGTAATGGTTACAGCCTTGAACCCTATGGAAAACTCTGTCCTGTGGTTTAAGGGGTGCCATGAGCCATCATGTACTTGATGGCACACAACAACAACAACAACATAGGCAATATTGTTCTAAGCCATTACAAGATTGTCTCAGGTACTCACTACAACACCTTCGTTAGAAAGAAACGCATTTTTAGATGAGGACAATTCTCCTCATTTTCAGATGAGGAAACTGAGGAATAGAGCACTAGGCTGTAAAACTAAGAGCCAGGAACACGAGCCCAAGCAGTGCTCTAGTTTAGGCTCATCTCATAAAACATCTCTTCTCCATTGACCCTAGCATACTACCTGTTCAGCCCCTTTGTCAGCTCAAATCCTCCTCTCAGCCCAACAGGCACTGGGAGACGGACTTCAGCTTCCCACCAAATTCAGGAGCTGTGGGGAGAGGGGAGGGTGCTTCCCTCAGCCTTCATTTTCCCCACAGAAGCCACAGCCAAGCCCAGGGGCCCAGTCATCCTGCAGCAGTGACCACTCTCCAGCAGGCAGCGCAGCCAATACAGACAGCGGTGTGGAAATGACTGGCAATGCTGGGGGCAGCACTGAGGACCTGTCCAGTTTGGATGAGGGGCCTTGCATTGCTGGCACTGGTCTGTCTACCCTTCGTCGCTTGGAGAACCTCAGGCTGGACCAATTGCATCAGCTTCGGCCAGTAGGGCCCCGGGGCCTCAAACTGCCCAGCTTGACCCATACCGGTGAGACCTGGGCGTGGAGGGGGGGTGGTGTGGTTATGGGGCTGAAAATCAACCTGTCCTAAGGTTGGGAGGAGCTGGTCACCCCTCAGTACTACTATATGGTACCTATATGCAACTAGAAAAACCCTTAAGACTCTTTCCCTTAAAACATATTTCCAACCTGTCAGAAAATTTTTGTAACAAACAAAATCTATCAGGTGAATGCTGTCCCCCATGATTGTACAGTGTAAACTCGTGCAACTGTTCACAGCATCCCTGAGTCAGAAGCAGAACAGGCATGGGAAAAGTAGGAGACACAGCTGAGTGGTTAAGGTTAAGGAGACTTGAGGACAAAGCTGCCCCATGGGTGGACACAGTGAGTTCAGGGGCTTCCTGACCATTTTGCCTTTTCTTCCTTTCATTTGCAGGCACCCCTGTGTCCCGTCGCCTGGGCCCTCCAATCTCTCTTGACCGCCGAAGCAGCAGCTCCAGCAGTATCAGCTCAGCCTATACTGTCAGCCGCCGCTCCTCCCTGGCATCCCCTTTCCCCCCTGGGTCCCCACCAGAGAATGGAGCATCCTCCTTGCCTGGCCTTACACCTGCCCAGCAGTATCTGTTCAGGTCAAGGTATGCTTCTGCCAGAGGGGGTGGCACCCCACCCACTGCAGCGCACAGCCTGGATCGGATAGGGAGTCTTCCTGCACCTCCTTGGAGAAGTCGAGTGGAATATCCAGGGTATAACCCCAATGCAGGTGTTACCCGGAGGGCTAGTGACCCAGCCCGAGCTGCTGATCGCCCTGCTCCAGCCAGAGTCCAGCGGTTTAAGAGCCTTGGCTGTGTCCACACATCCCCTACTGTGGCAGGGACAGGACGGAACTTTGATCCTCACCTCTCAACTTCTGTTTACTCACCACATCCCCCCAGCATCACTGAGAATGTCACCATGGATACCAGAGGACTACAGGAAGAACCAGAGGTTGGGGCCTCAATGATGGGCAGTAGTGTGAACCCCTATATAGACTTCCCTCCTGCTGATACTCTGGGATATGGAGGACCAGAAGGGACAGCAGTTGAGCCTTATGGAGCTAGGGTTCCAGGCTCCCTGACTTTTGGGCCTGGCCCACCCACCAACTACAGTCCTAGCCCCTGCCCCCAACAGGTCTCCTATCCTGACCCCACCCCAGAAACATGGGGTGAATTTCCCTCACACTCTGGGCTGTACCCAGGTTCCAAGGCTTCAGGTGGGGCCTATAGACAGTGTCCTCGACTTGAACATTATGGACAAGTGCAGGTCAAGCCAGAACAGGGGTGCCAAGTGGGTTCTGATTCTACAGGACTGACACCCTGCCTCAATGCCCACTCCAGTGAGGGACCCCCACATCCACAGCCGCTATTCTCCCATCACCCCCAGCCTACCCCACCACAGTATCCCCAAGCAGTTCCCTATGTCCAGCCACCCCCAAATTATCCTCCTTCAGAGCCCAGGCCTGGCCTGGATTTTGACTCTTCTCCTCATTCTGCAGGACAACTTAAGGCTCAGCTTGTATGTAATTATGTTCAGTCTCAACAGGAGTTGCTGTGGGAGGGTGCGAATAGAGGAGAGTCCTCAGTCCAGGAACCTCCCTACCAGAGCCCCAAGTTTCCAGGGGGTTCTCAGGTTAGCCCAAGCCCTGCCAAGGCTTCTATGGCTACATATGGACCTGGTTTTGCACCTAATTTGTCCCATCACAAGCCAGGCTCTTATCCTACCCCTTTACAATGCAATGAAAACTTTGGGGTGGGGACAAATAGGGCTCCCCTTAGGGCAGCAGCACCACCCCGACTTCTTCCCCCGTTACCCACTTGTTATGGGCCCCTCAAGGCAGGAGGCTCCAACCCTAGCTGTGGACATCCTGAGGTGAGCAGGCTAGGAGTGGGTCCTGCCTTGTATCCTCCCCCAGAAGGACAAGTGTGTAATCCCTTGGACTCTCTTGACCTTGACAACACTCAGCTGGACTTTGTGGCTATTCTGGATGAGGCTCAGGGACTGAGTCCCCCTCCTTCCCATGATCAGGGGGCAAGCTCTGAACATACCCCACCTGCCTCTGGTCCTCCCAACATGGCTGTGGGCAACATGAGTGTCTTACTGGGATCCCTGCCTGGGGAGACTCAATTCCTCAATTCTAGCGCCTAAAGAATGGGGAATCCTATCTATCACAGATTTTTGTTTCTTAAGGGGCTTACAACACCCTAGAGAAGGGGCTTGGGGTATGGGAGAAAGTTTGTGCTATCTCCATAAATCCCTTGCATACGAAGCCCCAAAGATGCAAGGTATGGGCAAGGCTGTATATAGTCTGTATATATTTTGAGGAGGAATTTGATAATGACACTATTTCCTGATAATAAAGAAACCATCAGAAAAAGCCCTGGTGGAAGCATTATCTTGGCAAAGGGGTCAGGACAGGGAACAAGAAGAGAAGCAAGTGGTCTCTTTAAAGAAGCTCCCTTACCCCACCTCGATCCTTCAGTTCAGACTCACAGCATCATTTAGGAAAATCATTTGAGAATCCCTTTTCTAAAGGGCATCCAACAGAAATCCCTGGAAAGACTTTTCATCTTCTGCTCTTTGTTTAAGTCAAGGGAATAGGCTGGGGAACTCGGTGAGCATCAGCTGGACTAACTGCCCAGGGTAGAGAGCATGAGCCGCTGGGTCAGAAATCTCCTGCTCTGGCCGAAACAGGGTGGGTCCAAAAACAATTCCCAGGTTGTGAGGAGTCATGCGGTTCTTATCAGAGTGTGCCATCACCCTGAAAGCAAAGGCCAAAGGAAAGGGATATGATTGTGCAGCTTTACCACATCAAATAAATTAGCATGCTTGACCTCTAACCCAAAGGCTGGAAGTTCAAATCTACCTAGAGGTGATTTGGTAGAAAACCTAATCAACTTCCAAACAATCAGCCATCGAAAACTCTACGAAGCACAGTTTTTACTCTCATACACTTGGGGTCACTATGGAATGGAAACAACTGGATGGTAACTGGGTAAAGATTTCAGCAGAGAAGGATTCTATCTCCAGATTTCCTCCATGTGGTGGCAAGAAACTAAGAGATACTCAAGAGAAACAGAGATGGGATCAGTGGAGGAAACTTCAGTAATTAGGATCCAACTGTCTCTTTCTAGCTGCTGGGATTTCCCCTACAGTCCTCTCTGCTCACTATTTCTTGTTTTAGGTGTCGTCAAATCAACTACAGCTCATAGCAACCCTATGAACAACAGATCTGAACCTGGTTCTGTGCTGTGGCTCACAATTTGGACAGCTTTAATTCAACAGGGCATTCTGGTGGCATAGAACATAGGAAATGGTACTGCTAAACGTAGCTTGTCTCCAGCAGTTCAATTCCAGTAGCACTCTGTGGGAGAAAAATGGGCAATCTCCTTTTATGGGATTTACAAGCGAAGAAGACCCACTGGAGGGTCAGCTAGGAGTTGGTTCTGAATTTACAGCAATGAGTTTGGGTTTTCATTCAATAGACATTTCTTCTATGAAGTAAGTGCCTTGGTCCAGCTCATTAAAATGAGTTATCACTATTGCCTCAGCAGGAGACAAAGCACAGAGAAAAGAAAACATTTCCCTTATTTCATAGCATCCCTGGGTTTGTCTTAGTTTTTTATTTCCCCATCAGATTCTGATTTATCTAAAGGTTTTGACTCTTTGCATCTCCTAAACAGAGGTTGCCTGTTACCTTGATCTACCCACTAACTTTAGGTGTTTCTCTCTGAAATGGATTGAATTATAATCCTCCAAAATATGTGTTGGTCTCTTAGTCCCCATTCCTCAACCAGGTGGATTGACACAGTGATTGTAGCACTGGGCTGTTGGAGATTGTGAAGGTGGCACAGATAGGACAGGGTTCAGATCTGTTGTTCATAGGGTCACTATGAGTCATACTTGACTTGATAGCTCCTAACAACACAACATCTCTATGGATTAAGTAATTCCATTTGAACAGAAACAGTATATTGTTGTATACCATAGAGTCAGAACCAACTCATTGCTGAGCCTCCAGTGGGTTTTCAGAGGCAGTAATCACGCGAGAGGAGATTGCCCATCCATCTCCTGCAGACAAGCTGGCGGCCTCGAACCGTATGCTTTTGGGATTGCACTGCAGCTTCTTGCCACTAGGCCACCAGAGCTCCCTAGACTAACTGTACAGGGTACATTTTAAATATAGATTATTTTTGTGACAGAAAAAGGCCAGATTAGACAAAACCAAGTAAGTAAGCACAAATGGGGGTGGAGAAGATAGATGTCACATGGAGATCTCCAAGGAACCAAAGAACATGGGGCTAGAAATTATGAGACCAGGTTTTTCCCTCAGAGCCTTTCCCTGCAGCCAGTGTCCTGAATTCATATGTCTACCTTCTTTCTGCCTGCTGTTAGTGTTACTGAGTTTATTCCAACTCAGAGTGACACTATAAGATAGAGTAGAACTGCCCCATCTGAGTTCCTAGGCTGGAATCTTTAGAGGAAGTTTGTTCTCCTGTGGAACTACTGGTCATTTTGAACAGCTGACTTTTCAGTCAGCAGTTGAGGATTTAAACATTATGCCACTAATCCTCCTTTCACATCTCTTAAATTGAGAAAATAAATTTCTGTTTATTAAAGGCATCCACTTGTGATAATTCTGCTAAGATAACACTAGGAAACTAAGACACCTACCTTCTCTCCACCTAAACATGGTCTACTTGTCCCCATGCCCCCAGCAGAAAGAAAGAAAGATAAAGAGAGAGAGAGAGAGAGAGAGAGAGAGAGAGAGAGAGAGAGAGAGAGAAAGAAAGAAAGACAAACTACACTTGGGAAGAATCCAGAATAACAAGTTACATTTTAAGTTATATATATTTGAATCACATGTCAGACAAAGTTTTGTTCTGTTTTCCATAGTATCTGTATGACTTTGGGCCAACTTAAGGGCATCAACAGCGACAATCAGATTATTGTTGTTGTTATGTGCCATCAAGTCACCTGCAACTCATAGCAACCCTATATCCAACAGTCCTAAAGCCTTCTCTATCCCTTGCCAATCTTATTTCTCTGACACACCAATCACCATTACCCAGTCACTGAATCAATCCATCTCATCAAGGGTCTTCCCATCTTATGTTGTCCCTCCACACTCCCAAACATAACATCCCTCTCCAAGGACTTTTCCCTCCTTGCAACATGTCCAGTGTGTCAGATGAAGCTTCAGAATCCTTGCCTCCAAGAAGCAGCCTGGTCTCACCCTCTCTAGGATGAATTTACTTGTTCTTCTAGAGGCCCATGGTATATTCAATACTCTTCTCCAACATCGCGGCTCAAAGGCATCAATTCTCCTTCTATCACCCCTAGTCACTGTCCAGCTCTCTGATGTACAGCAGGTGATTGCAAAGACTATGGGCTTTATCAACTAGAAACAGAAGATATGTGATTGATTGCCTCTTCAGGGGAGAGGTCTTGGAAAAAATTACACAGGAGAGACAAAAATAACATAGCACAAATATTAGTACTCATTTAACTCACTGCCATTGAATTTAAACCAGCTCATAGCTGACCCTCCTGTGAGTTTTCAGTGGCTGTGATTCAGATGTGAAGAGATGGTCTAACTTTCTCTCACAGAGCTTCTAAGAGATTTGAACTGCATGTCTTTAAGTGTACAATTCAGCTCTTTACCCACTAGACCACAGCAAGACATACAATTATTCAAATATATAACAGATACAAGGTTTATAGAAGTGTATTGCTTGCAATACATTCCTTAAAATTGCAAAAATAAAACACTTTACAAATATTAAAACATTTTACAAAGAGCTGTTCCACCTACCTCATAGAGGATTGGTCCTTCAGCTCTAATGTTCCTCACAGCATGACTAAAGTTTAATACAGTACTTTGTGACGTCTCTAAAGCCTGCTTCTATTCCAGCATGGAGAAGAGATTTTACCCATGGATGAACATGGAAAACTACTATTTGAGACGTTGGATCTCTGTGCTGTCTGGGAGGTAAATGCTTGGAGGCAAAGATGAGAAATCCATGGAAGGGGCTAGTTGGAGACCTGTGTGAGCGGTGACAGTCAATAGATAACCCTCCACCTTATTTTTTCTCATGTTCAAAATCAGGAATCCAACAAATGATCTCAAAATTGTCTTGGAGCTTTAGAATTCTATTTACTCCGTAAGCAGCATCTTCTGATCTTACCAGCCTGCAGAATTCTTTATGAAAGAAAGTTGAGACAATTAAAAGTCTATTGGCATATTAAGCCAGCAAAGCTACTCTTTGAGGGTGAAAGATAATATTTTTTAATCTGCTGTTAAAGGACACAGGTAATTTAATGATAAATCTTACCTAAATAAATGTGAATCCCAGAGTATTTATTAACATAAACAAAGTGAGGTGAATAAATATGTGTATTTCTGTAATAAAATTTCTAAGGGAAATTTCTTTTCTATGAGAACAGATGAACTGAGATCTACTGTAAGGTGTGAGACATAGCCTTTTTATAAGGCCATTTATCCAGTAGGAAGAGAACAGTTAAGTGGAAAACTTTTTAAAAGTTAGAAGGCTTTTCTTCCCAAGGAGTATCAAAGTCTCTCCAAAAAGTGGATAAGGAAAGTGTGGGAGAGGGTGAGCTCTGAAAAAAAATATGGAGATCAGATAGTGAGAAGCCTTTTAAGAATTACTTTGTCACATTGGTGTTTAATGTACCAATTTCACAATTCTTGATACTATCAATATTTTATATTTTGGATTATCTGATAAAAAAAGAACAATATCCTTTAAATGATGACTGGTTTTGATTCACGATGAGCTTGAAAACCTTTAAAAGAGTTTTACTTTATTAAAGGATCCCTCTCTATGTTGCTGTCAACATCTTCCAGCTTTCTCTTAATTACTTTTGTTCTTCATGGCAACCAATGTCAACTAGATTTGTGGCAAATTCTTTACAGGTATTTCTTTTTATTGTTCTGTCTCATTTTTTTCCATTGGCCAAATATATTGTCCCACATGGTTCCTTCCTCCTCAGGCCATGGAGAAATGTAAGGATGCAGGGCTGGCCAAGTCCATTGGAGTGTCCAACTTTAATCACAAGCAGCTGGAGATGATCCTGAACAAGCCAGGACTGAAGCACAAGCCTGTCTGCAATCAGGTGAGCCTCTTCTATCCATCAAGGTTACTTCTACTTTCTGTTATTCATCTCTTTACTTTGTCTCTCTCTAGTATCCGATAAACATTCTATATTCATTTTACTTGTTTGAACTAGAAGATTCTAAAAGGTAGAATCTATGCCTAGATGGAAATTAATAGAATTAGATAGAAGTTAAAGGTTTGTATGTGATTTGCACGCCTGAATTATTCTTCTTACTATCTCTATCTTCAATTTTGACTAATAAAACATGTTGTTGTTGTTGTTATGTGCTGTCGAGTGGCTTGCGACTCATAGCGACCCTATGTACAACA